ATCTACATCTGTTTGCCATTTAAAAGTAAAACCGAAAGTGCTTTTTATCTTTACTGAAAGGGGCAGGTACTGCTTACAGACAACCGAAACTTTACAATTCGGCCCTTTGGCCATAAATCTAAATGACTTGAGAGCATTGACCGACTTTAGAACAATTAATATTTATGACAACAACATCACTATCGATTCTCTAAATAACATAATTTAGCACAATATAAAAACCCTATAATTTTTCCCACAATAAACGTTTACCAATGAGTACCAAAAATATGACAATAACACACAGACGCGAATTTTCCCGCTAATGAATATAAAAGTAATAAAGTGATACCTGTGACCTATTAATGTTTGTTTAAATTCTCCCCCGGAATATCTGAATATTAAATACTAGTTTGATTACTTTAATAGTGCGATTATCGTTTTAATTCTAAGTAAAAGAAACCTTACAGAAAGAAAAGTATACCACTGATAAAAGTGTCTACCTGGCGCAAGTTCGTCGGGTCAGCCAGAAGGGTGACGAAATCCACTACGAACGTCGCCTATAGAGTAGTACTTTTAATCATTTAGTAACATTTTATAATGTTGAACCGGAGATACAAAATATCTGGCGTTTAACTAGACTAGCGAGGTATCACCAGTATTAGTTACGCCAATATTTTAGTCGCTCGGTAGATATAACTTTACAAAACAGTTCTAGGAGCGAAATCTGGTTCTACTCAACGTGTATCTGCTTGGTCAACCTGACTATATATCTCCTTTTACTTATATATAAAATATAAGAAAAAGGTGGTCATCCTAAGGATAACTGGATATCTATTCAGAAGCCGTCGTTTATAGAAACTAATTTCTCTACTCCGTCGATATCTTTTATTTCCGTTGTCAAAATATAACAAAAGCGCGGCCACCGTAAGGGTAGCGATATCTCTTTTTAATTATATTTGAAGAATATAAAGAAAAAGGAGTCACCGTGACAGTAACCTGGATATTTGCGTTTTTTGTTAACTCGACTCGGCGAAGAAGAAAAAGCTAATGTTCCGCCAGCGCACAAAAACCTGGGTATTTATACTTAAATTTCCCATATAAGCAAATGTATCAGACAGAGACCGACTGTGGCTTTGGTGTATAAAGACTATAAAGACCTGTATTAATTCCTGAATATAGCCCTTACGTTCACATCTGGTTCTTTAGTTAGCGTCCATGAGATCCGATACATAGACTGGTTTTCCCAGAAGTAATAAAACGGCGCCTACGAGGCGGGTTACGCTGGGATGCTGTTTGAATTCGAAATATAATATGTAATATATAAGAATTATTTAAATTAATTATCAACCCCCGGTTGTCGGATTTCAGTATATTACAATTGTTACTATTTACTGAGATCTCACTTGAGTCCCGTTCAAACACAGACACGTTCATTTGTTATCAATACATATTTTATTTGGGTTGATGACCAACGGAGTTAACGAACAGCGTCAATTCGCCAGTTGGTTAACTACTGTGTTGATGTTTATGTTCTTATTTAGGTTAATGACCAACGGAGTTAACGAACAGCGCCAATTCGCTAGTTGGTTAACTACTGTGTTAATGTTGATTTAATTCTATTTTAGATATACACAGGTTGCACCCTCTTAGGTAAATATTTCGAAGAGTATAGAGGTGATGACCAACGGAAGTAACGAACAGCGCCAATTCGCCTGTTTGTTACTTTCCTATGTTGATTTCACATATACTTAGTTTCAAACCTTGTAGGATGGGTGGCTTAGCATATAGGTGTCCCCGCTTGACTAAACAAACAGTGTATTCACCAGTTGGTTAACTTACTATTAAATTTTACCATCTTGGTTTGTACAATTTATCCAAGATAGCACATCCCTGTATATTTCTAAAATATTTATTTTTATAATTTCTATTGAAATGGCTTAATACAACCCTGTATATTTCTTAATATTAATTTTTATATTTTGTATTAAAATACTCAAAATTTCACCCATCAAATACAGATGTCTATCCTAACCAGAGTTGGGTCGAATACTGAAATCCGGTATTCGAATACGAATACTGAATACTGTATTCTAAATTGTATTCGAATAATCAATATTCGAATATAAAAAAAAAGTATTTGAATACCGCTGTATTCGAATACCTGGATTCATTTACATATGAATACTTTATGAATATTCCAACTACAAATAACATGTGCGCACATAGAGCTTGATTATTATTAATGTAGTTAATTTATAAAAATATAAAAAAAATTAAAAATCTATGTTAAATAAAACTTGAAATATAATTTTTTGATACACAGTGTCACAGTGAGGTTAAATAAAATAACTGTTTTATAAAAAAACATTTGTTGATTTTTATTTCTTAAAGTTTTATTAAAAAATTATAAATAAAACGATAAAATAATGAAAAATTTAAAATAAAATTCTTTGGTACACCGTCAGATAATAACACAAACTTATTGTTTAATAAAAAATAAACAATTCCCATTACCTATAACCTACTTACTTATACAGGGTGTCCAACGAGATACGCCTCGGACCATAACTCCATAACGGTGCAATTTTCGAAAACTAATTTTAGAAGATGGCTTTTTTTGAATATACATAAAAAAGGACTCTTACAAAATTTTTGAAAATTGCGCCGTTATGGCCTAAGCTAATCTTCTAAAGTCATTAAGCGACTTGCTCGTCTTGCGCTTTCGCAATGACTAAATTTCACCCCGATCCCCGATCACCCGATCGTCGGCATCGCGAATTCAGAAGCACTGCGACTGCGCCGTCCAAAATACCGAGTACTGACCAAAAAAGTATTCAGTCGAATACCGAATACAGAAAACATAAATGTATTCGAATACCAGCCAAATGTATTCTGAATAAGATTCAAAATACCGGGTATTCAAATACTACCCAACTCTGATCCTAATTGTCTTTTGGGGTGTATGACCTGAAGTCCATGTGGTTTATTGGTTACATTGTCAATATTTCGAAGCAAATGTCAGGCCCTACGTGTAAACGAAACCCCGAGTATCTCAAAGAAAGTTAAATCTTTGGATTTAGACATTAGATTATGTACTAATTTCATCTAGCGTTGTGACGGCGTCGATTTAGGTACGTCGCAGCGTTCAGTGTCGCCTTGCATCGAGGCGCCTAGCGTCGTGGTGGAAAGGAAGGTATTTAATTCGGTATTGTATTGGGGTGTCGACAAGGATATTATGAATGAAATATTTAGGGGCGACAAACGTCTAGAAGTAGTGTTGGGACGTTGGAATGAATGTAAGGTAGAAAATACTTAGATGGTGCGGAATGTGACAGTGATCGAGACGTAGGGAGTAGGACGTTGGGCGTCGAGACGTTGACAGCTTCGGGATAGGAGTTATTGTAGGTAGACGTCGTAGGAAGAGCATTTTAGGAACGGTACTGACTACTGAACTTGAAATATAACTGGATATAAATAATAATTGAATGCTTGCACATCAAATAATAAATGAATCCGAGCTCCTTTGGGTCAGACTTCTTATACTAAGTTTAATGGCTTTTTGTGACGTCTCTGTGTATCTTAGTTCCCAGAAAAATACGAATGTGGGTGCAAAGGGGGTAGCTGATTTATTACTTGCCTTGAAAGCTTTGTGTATCGAAATATTGTCGAAAAAGACAATGAGAATTTTTAAAACAGGACATTATATCGTAGCCATGCTGCTCGTCTATTATGTAATTCTTAAACATGTAGAATTAATTCATCTGTTAGGATTGATTCCAACAGCTTAGGAATTGTTGATAGCATAGAAATGACGCGATAATTTTTTATGTCATATTTATCCCCGGATTTAAAAATTGGGACCAAGTTAGAATATTTCCATTTGGACGGAACATATCCTCTGTCGAATTATCTCTGGAAAATTGTGCACAGAGGTGCAGATAAAGCAGGGCACTTCTTGAGAAGGATAGGTGATATTCCATCTGGACCAGAACCTTTGGAAGGATCGAGGTCCAACATTTTCTTCTTTATTTCATCTTCTTTAAAGATATGAAATGACAGGTGGGAACCAAATTTAACGGCTTTCAGGTGGTTTAAGTCAAGAATGCTGTAGTTACTGTTCTCTCGAGTCTTTTGTCCTTGAGAGGTCTCTCGAGTATGTTTTTCGCGAGAGTTTGGTTTTCGCTCATATCAAATTTTTATCTCTATTATCAATTTTTTATATCTATTATTAGTTTTTACCTAATGGGCACTTTTCCAAATTGTCGCTTGTTTGTTATGTCTCTCCTTTAAATTAAAATTACGTTTTATTTTAAATCAATGTTAAAAATATTCTATATTGTATAAAATTTTATTCTTTTTTGGATAGGTTTGGGTTCAATTTTTTATCTGTATTCGTTTTTACATATTGGGCGTTTTTCCAACTTTTTTCCTCGAGCGTTGCTTTTATCTCGAGATTTTTCCTAGGGAGGTATTTTTCTCTCGAATCTTTTTTCCTCGAGAGGTAGTTCTCACGAGTATTTTTTCCTCGAGAATTGAGTTTCTCTCGAGTCTTTTTTCCTCGAGAGTTTGGTTTCTCTTGATTTTTTCATCGAGAGGTGATTTTCTCTCGAGTATAGAAGTGGTTTTCTCTCGAGTATAGAAGTGGTTTTCTCTCGAGTACATTTCCCTCGGGAGATGCCTTTCTCTGGAGTATATTTTTCTCGAGAGGTGACTTTTTTGAAAAATTTTTTAAAAATTCAAATTTTGAATTTTTTTTCAAATTTTATTTCTCGAATACAGTCCATTTTAGGGAAATCATGTATAGGACTTTTTTAAAGAATGTTCTTCTCCAAACGTAAATAACAAATATTCCATAAATTAGATAACGTCCCCCCAGATTTCCGACTATGCCCAAACTCTAATTATCTCACAACAGGATGGATGAAGTTTTAAAGTAATCGAATTTTAGACTATAAATACCCTACCCAACTAACATGACTGTTTTTATATATTAACGATCCATTTTTTTTTAATTACAGACAAAATACTCGTAAACAACGGCTACGTAACCGGAGAGTACCAAATAACCAACAATCTAAACAACGGTAACGATATTATCAAAACCGAAAACAGTATTACTTACACCAAGCGACAACTAATCGATTTAGCGAATCTACCGAAATCTGACAACACCAAACTGGTCCTGAACTGGTTCGACACGCACATCGACAACAAAGGCAGCAAAACTTACATCAAACACGCGGACAGCACGTCCGAAAACGACGATTTCCTTTCGTACGAGAATTCAGTCGATGAATCCGATAACGAAAACATCAGAAAACTCATCGACATAAACAATTTGGTCTTCAGAAAAGTTTATAAGAAGAAAAGAAAGATTAGCATAACGAAATTCGTTAATCCGAAACAAGAAACTCGTTCCAGAACGAGCAAATCATCCTTAGGATCATCAGCTTCTGATTTATCAGAACTTAAAACTCCACTTACACCATCTAGCATTCGATCAGCAACCATAGAATTAAAAGTACCGAAAATCGAGGATCTATCCGACGAATCCGGCATCGTAACTTTACCACCATCCAAGAACTCCTTTTCCTCGACCAAATTATCAATCTTTCAACCTAAACTTCACGATACCAGCAGTGATTACATGACCAGCAGCGCCACCAGCTTGTTGAATCGCAATATATTCACGATTGCTAACGATCTGAGCCGCAGTCTGTTTACTTCGGACGAATCGTGTATCGATAACTCCAAAGTAGGCTGTGAGAATAAAACAGACGACGAGGGAAGTACCGAAATGAGTTTCGTGACCGTATCGGAGGTGTACAAGTACGAGGATAAGGAGGAGGGCATCGTGTTGTATGAGAAACGAGTGGTCAAAGTGGGAAGGTGAGTTATTTTATTTTTTTACAGTCTCGTTTCATTAGCTAATATTCCCGCCCTTGTTGCAATGATCTTAGTCAGGGTTACCAGGTTTTTGAAAGAGATGACGGACAGACAGGGGATTTTAGGGGAAATAGGGGAAAGTTAAAACAACTCGTTTAATCAAAATTACTTATTTTGCAAGAAATCCTTACCTAATTTTGGTAAAGATACACTGAGGTGTTTTTACAAATAATAAGGTGTAAATGTAAAGTTAGAAAATCGAGAAATCGCAAATTGAAATCAGTCAGAAACATTTTCACCTTATTATTTGTAAAAACACCTCAGTCTATCTTTACCAAAAATTAGGTACGGATTTATTACAAAACAAGTAATTTTGATAAAAAAAAAATTAAAATGGACAGAGTTGTTTTTACTTCCCTCTATTTCCCCTAAAATCCCCTGTCTGTCCGTCATCTCTTTCAAAAACCTGGTAATCCTGATCTTGTTCCATACAATAATGTTGTCCTCGCTTCTAAAATGAAGTTCTATCATGTAACTACAAAAAATATACAAACTGATCTTCCACAAAGATGCCTTGTTTCAGAAATTAAGTATTTATCTTGTTTTTAAAATAATGTGTATTTTTTTTAAATAATTTGTCCTGTTCCTAAAATAATGTGTCCTTTTCTTTAAATAATGTGTTCTCTTCCTAAAATAATGTTTCTTGTCTTCTAAAATGATTGGGTCGTTTTTTTTAATGTGTCTTCTTTCTTTAATTAATGTATCTTGTTCCTAAAAGAATGTTTCGTGTTTTGTTTTTAAAATAATGGATATTTTCTTTAAATGATGTGTTCTGTTCCTAAAATAATGTTTCATGTCTTCCGAAATGAATAAGTCGGGTTTTTGAAATAATGTGTTTTATTTCTAAAATAATATGTATTTTTTTAAATAATGTGTCCGGTTCCTAAAATAATGTGTCCGGTTCCTAAAATAATGTGTCCGGTTCCTAAAATAATGTGTCCTTTTCTTTAAATAATGTGTTTTGTTCCTAAAATAATGTTTCTTGTCTTCCAAAAAGATTGGGTCGTTTTTTTTAATGAGTCTTCTTTCTTTATATAATTTATCTTGTTCCTAAAATAATGTTTCGTGTCATCCGAAATGAATAGGTCGCGTTTTTGAAATAATGTGTCTTATTTCTAAAATAATGTGTATTTTCTTAAATAATTTGTCCTTTTCCTAAAATAATGTGTTCTATTCCTAAAATAATGTTTCTTGTCTTCCAAAATGATTTGGTCGTTTTTTTTAATGTGCCTTCTTTCTTTAAATAATATATCTTGTTCCTAAAATAATGTTTCATGTCTTCCGAAATGAATAGGTCGCGTTTTTGAAATAATGTGTCTTATTTCTAAATTAATGTGTATTTTCTTTAAATAATTTGTCCTGTTCCTAAAATAATGTGTCCTTTTCTTTAAATAATGTGTTCTGTTCCTAAAATAATGTTTCTTGTCTTCTAAAATGATTGGGTCGTTTTTTTTTAATGTGTCTTCTTTCTTTAATTAATGTATCTTGTTCCTAAAAGAATGTTTCGTGTTTTATTTTTAAAATAATGGATATTTTCTTTAAATGATGTGTTCTGTTCCTAAAATAATGTTTCTTGTCTTCCAAAATGATTGGGTCGTTTTTTTTAATGAGTCTTCTTTCTTTATATAATTTATCTTGTTCCTAATATAATGTTTCGTGTCATCCGAAATGAATAGGTCGCGTTTTTGAAATAATGTGTCTTATTTCTAAAATAATGTTTATTTTCTTTAAATAATTTGTCCTTTTCCTAAAATAATGTGTCCTTTTCCTAAAATAATGTGTTCTGTTCCTAAAATAATGTTTCTTGTCTTCCAAAATGATTTGGTCGTTTTTTTTTAATGTGCCTTCTTTCTTTAAATAATATATCTTGTTCCTAAAATAATGTTTCATGTCTTCCGAAATGAATAGGTCGCGTTTTTGAAATAATGTGTCTTATGTCTAAAGTAATGTGTATTTTCTTTAAATAATTTGTCCTTTTCTTTAAATAATGTGTTCTGTTCCTAAAATAATGTTTCTTGTCTTCCAAAATGATTGGGTCGTTTTTTTAATGTCTCTTCTTTCTTTAATTAATGTATCTTGTTCCTAAAAGAATGTTTCGTGTTTTATTTTTAAAGTAATGGATATTTTCTTTAAATGATGTGTTCTGTTCCTAAAATAATGTTTCTTGTCTTCCAAAATGATTGGGTCGTTTTTTTAATGTGTCTTCTTTCTTTAATTAATGTATCTTGTTCCTAAAAGAATGTTTCGTGTTTTATTTTTAAAGTAATGGATATTTTCTTTAAATGATGTGTTCTGTTCCTAAAATAATGTTTCTTGTCTTCCAAAATGATTGGGTTGTTTTTTAATGTGTATTCTTTCTTTAAATAATATATCTTGTTCCTAAAATAATGTTTCATGTCTTCCGAAATGAATAAGTCGCGTTTTTGAAATAATGTGTCTTATTTCTAAAGTAATGTGTATTTTCTTTAAAATATTTATCCTGCTGTTCCTAAAATAATGTGTCCTTTTCTTTATATAATGTGTTTTGTTCCTAAAATAATGTTTCTTATCTTCCAAAATGATTGGGTCGTTTTTTAATGTGTCTTCTTTCTTTAAATAATATATCTTGTTCCTAAAATAATGTTTCGTGTCTTCCGAAATGAATAAGTCGGGTTTTTGAAATAATGTGTCCTGTTCCTAAAATAATGTGTCCTTTTCTTTAAATAATGTGTTCTGTTCCTAAAATAATGTTACTTGTCTTTCAAAATGATTGGGTCGTTTTTTTAATGTGTCTTCTTTCTTTAAATAATGTATCTTGTTCCTAAGATAATGTTTCATGTCTTCCCAAATGAATAAGTCGGGTTTTTGAAATAATGTGTCTTATTTCTAAAATAATGTATATTTTCTTTAAATAATGTATCTTGTTCCTAAGATAATGTTTCGTGTTTTTCGAAATAAATAAGTCGGGTTTTTGAAAAAATGTGTCTTATTTCTAAAATATTGAGTATTTTTTTTAAATAATTTGTCCTGTTCCTAAAATAATGTGTCCTTTTCTTTAAATAATGTGTTCTGTTCCTAAAATAATGTTTCTTGTCTTCCAAAAATGATTGAGTCCTTTTTTTTTAATATGTCTTCTTTCTTTAAATAATATATCTTGTTCCTAATATAGTTTCGTGTCTTCCGAAATGAATAAGTCGGGTTTTTGAAATAATGTGTCCTGTTCCTAAAATAATGTGTCCTTTTCTTTAAATAATGTGTTCTGTTCCTAAAATAATGTTACTTGTCTTTCAAAATGATTGGGTCGTTTTTTTAATGTGTCTTCTTTCTTTAAATAATGTATCTTGTTCCTAAGATAATGTTTCATGTCTTCCCAAATGAATAAGTCGGGTTTTTGAAATAATGTGTCTTATTTCTAAAATAATGTATATTTTCTTTAAATAATGTATCTTGTTCCTAAGATAATGTTTCGTGTTTTTCGAAATAAATAAGTCGGGTTTTTGAAAAAATGTGTCTTATTTCTAAAATATTGAGTATTTTTTTTAAATAATTTGTCCTGTTCCTAAAATAATGTGTCCTTTTCTTTAAATAATGTGTTCTGTTTCTAAAATAATGTTTCTTGTCTTCCAAAAATGATTGAGTCCTTTTTTTTTAATATGTCTTCTTTCTTTAAATAATATATCTTGTTCCTAATATAGTTTCGTGTCTTCCGAAATTAATAGGTCGGTTTTTTGAAATAATGTGGCTTCTTTCTAAAATAACGTGCCTTCTTTTTGAAATATTCGACTTTTCTTTTAATAATACGTTCCTAAAATATTGTTTTCCGAAATAAGTAGGGCATTTTTTTTTAATAATCTGTCTTCTTTCTGAATGAATTTGTCTTATTTGACATAATGTGTCTTTCTAATAATGGCCCACCTTTTTAAATTCATGATAAATCAATTTTAAAACTAATGTGTCCCGATTTAAAACTAATGTGTCCCGATTTAAAACTAATATGTCCTGTTTCAAAAATATTCCTGTTTCTGAGATAATATACCTCTTGTTTCTAAAGTAATAAGACTTATGCTTTTAATAATGTGTCCTGTTCCTAAAATAATGTTTCGATAATGAGGTGATAGGTTATTTTAACTTATTGTATCTTTCTAAAACAATGGTTCTTCTTTCTGAAATAATGAGTCTTTTTCTTTTAAGAATGTGTCCTTTTCTAAAAATAATGTTTCCTTTTTTCAGAAATGGGAGGGTCAGTATGTTTTGAAATAATGTGTCTTCTTACTAAAATAATGTCTTCTTTCTGAAATAATAAGTTATTAAAATAATGTTTCATGTTAAACGAAATGAGTAGTTCGTTCTTTTTAAGTAATGTGTCTTCTTTCTAAAGTAATGGGCATTTTTTCTAAATTAATGTGTCTTATTATTAAAATAATGTATCTATTTTTAATAATGGCTCATTTTTCTAAAATCATGTGATTTGTGCTTAAAATAATAAGTCCGTTTTAAATAATAAGTTGTCCTGTTTCAAAAATACTTCTGTTTTTGAGATAACTTTAAAACAATGTCTTATTTCTAAAATATTGTCTTTTTCTAATAATGTGTCCTGATCCTAAAATAATGTGTCCTGTTCCTAAAATAATGTGTCCTATTCCTAAAATAGTGTTTTCTGTTTTTCGAAATAAGTAGGTCAGTATTTTTTGTAATAATGTGTCGATTAATGAGGCTGTTTCTAAAATCATGAGATTTGTTTTTGTAATTAGTCTGTTTCAGAAATAATATCCTCTTTAAGAAATGGGTCTTCTTCTTTTTTAATTAATGTGCCTGTTAGCTATAAATAAATATAGCCTGTCTTAAAAATAATGTTACATTACTAAAATAATAAGATTGTTTCAGAAATATTGCTTTGTTTCTGATATAATTACCAATTTTAGAAATAATGTGTCTTTTTCTAAAATATTTAGCCATTTTTTAAGTAATGTGTCCTGTATTTAAAATAATGTTTTCTGTAACGAGTAGGTCTGTATTTTATTACAGAAATAATGTGTCCATTTTTAAAAAAATTAGTCCATTTTAAAAACAATTTGTTCAGCAAATCTTCCTACCTTTATTCTACTGATATTGTTTCTCTCATCTTATTTCTTCCTTGTATCCCTGCATCATTCGTTTGTTTGGTTATCATAATCCCCTTTCATTCAACGTATGTGGTCTAACCAGCTCAGTATATTGCAACAGCTATCTTGGATGCTCTTCTAATGATTATTTCTTTCCAAATGCAAGTTGATGCAAATCCTAGGACATCCTACAAATTTATTGTCCTCAGTCATAAAATTATCTTATATAATCTTAAGAAACTATTTTGTAGAACCTCAAACACGTCAACAACTATTATCTATTCCAACAATATCTATTAATAACATTATCTAATCATCAATACCAGTCATTACAATAATTATCCTTAGCTGGCAAATATTGACGAGATAACTAAGTGCATGAACCATCTACAGCTGTTCATATAAACGTTGTGTTTCATCCTATTCTAGCGAGTGCAACGGTAGCATCAAAACAGGATCTCTATCATCAAAAATGTCCTCATTGCCCGAATCGTTGGACTACGATCCCGATACGCTGCGAAGGGAGTTGACCTTATTGGGATACGACCCAGGACCGATCACTTTCACGACCAAGCGAGTCTACTTGAAGAAATTGTATCAATTGAAGAAGCAGAATCCCGTGAAAGTTATTGAGAAAGGTGCGGAAGCTTCTAAAAGAGGTTAGTTTGTTATATTTTTGGGTTTTTATACGTTCCGGTAGATTTTTTATAAGTTCTGACAAGTTTTTATACGTAATTTTAACTTTTGTCCCATATTTATGTCAATATTTCATTATATCCAAGTTCTTACATTCGCCCATTCAAGTTTTTATGAGTTATGTCAAGTTTTTATAAGTTCTGTCAAGTTTTTATGAGTTCTTTCAACTTTGTATAGATTTTATTCAAGTTTTATGAAAAAAATTTTTAGGTTCAATCTTCAAGCTCTGTCAAGTTTTGAGTTATATCAGATTTCAAGATTTTATAGTGATTTTTTATATTTTGTTGACTTTTTATAAGTTCTGGAGAGTATTTTAAGTTTTGATCCATATTTATATCAATATTTCATAGTTTATGCCAAGTTTTTGAGTATCGTCGAGTTTTTATAAGTTCTGTCAAGTTTTTATAAGTTCTGTCAAGTTTTTAGAAGTTCTTTCAACTTTTTGTAGGTTTTATTCAAGTTTAAAAAAAGACTTTTGAGGTTTAATCTTCAAGCTCTGTCAAGTTTTTAGTTATATTAAATTTTAAGATTTTATAGTGATTTTTTATATTTTGTTGACTTTTTATAAGTTCTGACGAGTATTTTAAGTTTTATTCCATATTTATGTCAATATTTCATAGTTTATGTCAAGTTTTTAAGTTTCGTCGAGTTTTTATAAGTTTTGTCAAGTTTTTATAGATTTTATTCAAGTTTTATGAAAAGATATTTTAGGTTCAATCTTTAAGCTCTGTCAAGTTTTCAGTTATATAAAATTTCAAGATTTTATAGTGATTTTTTCTATTTTGTTGACTTTTTATAAGTTCTGACGAGTATTTTAAGTTTTGTCCCATATTTATGTCAATATTTCATAGTTTATGCCAAATTTTTAAGTTTCGTCTAGTTTTTATAAGTTCTGTCAAGTTTTTATAGATTTTATTCAAGTTTTATGAAAAGATTTTTTAGGTTTAATCTTCAAGCTCTGTCAAGTTTTCAGTTATATAAAATTTCAAGATTTTATAGTGATTTTTTATATTTTGTTGACTTTTTATAAATTCTGACGAGTATTTTAAGTTTTGTCCCATATTTATGTCAATATTTCATAGTTTATGCCAAGTTTTTAAGTTTCGTCTAGTTTTTATAAGTTCTGTCAAGTTTTTATAGATTTTATTCAAGTTTTATGAAAAGATATTTTAGGTTCAATCTTCAAGCTCTGTCAAGTTTTCAGTTATATCAAATTTCAAGATTTTATAGTGATTTTTTATATTTTGTTGACTTTTTATAAGTTCTGACGAGTATTTTAAGTTTTGTTCCATATTTATGTCAATATTTCATAGTTTAGGTCAAGTTTTTAAGTTTCGTCGAGTTTTTATGAGTTCTGTCAAGTTTTTATAAGTTCTTTCAACTTTTTATAGATTTTATTCAAGTTTTATGAAAAGGTATTTTAGGTTCAATCTTCAAGCTGTAAAGTTTTCAGTTATATAAAATTTCAAGATTTTATAGTGATTTTTTGTATTTTGTTGACTTTTTATAAGTTCTGACGAGTATTTTAAGTTTTGTCACATATTTGTGTCAATATTTCATAGTTTATGCCAAGTTTTTAAGTTTCGTCTAGTTTTTATAAGTTCTGTCAAGTTTTTATAGATTTTATTCAAGTTTTATAAAAAGGTTTTTTAGATTCAATCTTCAAGCTCTGTCAAGTTTTCAGTAATATCAAATTTCAAGATTTTATAGTGATTTTTTATATTTTGTTGACTTTTTATAAGTTCTGACGAGTATTTTAAGTTTTGTCCCATATTTATGTCAATATTTCATAGTTTATGCCAAGTTTTTAAGTTTCGTCGAGTTTTTATAAGTTCTGTCAAGTTTTTATAAGTTCTTATACATATTTTAAAGCTATGTCCAGTTTTAATAAGCCACTAAATTTCAAGATTTTGTAGTTTCCATCAAATTTTCACTCAAAACCTTTTTATAAGCTCCAATAATCCCGCTCAGTATTTTGAGTTTTGAAAATTTTATCTTATTTCAAAGGGTTCGTCAACTTTTTCTAAGATCTGCCAAGTTTTCTGAAGTTTGGATTTCTTTTATTTACATTTTATAAGTTCTGTCGTTTTTTAACGTTTTGTAAACCCTTTTTAGAGGTAATAAACATTGGCATTGGTTTTTGACCACTCGGTAACAATCTCAAAATGTCTGTCATAAACCCCGTCAGTTAGACATTTATTTACATTTTTATATTCATTTTTACTCTTTTACTATTTTAAATGTTTTTGTACCCCAAACTGATCCCAAAATCGATACAAGTAAAAACAATCGTCAAAAATCTTTCAGTGTACTCACCAGAACTGGAAAAAACCATAAGGGATACAAATTGGACATCGGAGCTCACGTCTTATAAGAAACTAGAAGAAGCATTGATCAGCCAATTCAGCGTAGTGGATCCGTTCAGAAAATGGCGAGAGGGCAACAACAAATCGTCATTTACTTATCTGCTTTTGGATCCCAGGAAAACGGATAATTTGCCGTGTAGGGCCGAGTTGATGGATCCCAAAGATGCTTGGGAGACTTTTCTATCGGCCATTTTTTACGTAGGAAAAGGTAAGTGACACTTGCACAAGTTTTTGATAGTCTACTTTGTTTAATATTTTCTGTCTTAAGCAGTCTCAAACCAATTCCTGTAAATAGGACATCATTTTTGGTTACCCTGTGTTTCGTTTATGCTCCTAATTTTATAGTTTTTTCTTTTATAAAACTTTTTTACTATGAATCCTTTTAAGGTTTTTTTTTTAGATAGAGTCCACGGGGATATTTTTATAAATTCTGTCAACTTTTTATAAGATTTAAACATATTTGTGAGTCCTGTTAAGGTTTTTAAGATCTATGAAAATTTTATTAGTGTCAACAAATTTTTATAAGTTGTGCCAAGTTTTTTATGAGTCCTGTTAAGGTTTTTTAGATAGAGTCTATGGAGATATGAGTTTTATCAAATTTTTATAATTTCTGTCAACTTTTTATAAGATATAAACACATTTGTGAGTCCTGTTAAGGTTTTTAAGATCTATGAAGATTTTATTAGTGTCAACAAATTTTTATAAGTTGTGACAAGTTTTTTATGAGTCCTGCTAAGGTTTTTAAGATTTATGAAGATTTTATAAGTTTTATCAAATTTTTATAATTTCTGTCAACTTTTTATAAGATTTAAACGCACACTTGTGAGTCCTGTTAAGGTTTTTAAGATCTATGAAGATTTTATTAGTGTCAACAAATTTTTATAAGTTGTGACAAGTTTTTTATGAGTCCTGCTAAGGTTTTTAAGATTTATGAAGATTTTATAAGTTTTATCAAATTTTTATAATTTCTGTCAACTTTTTATAAGATTTAAACGCACACTTGTGAGTCCTGTTAAGGTTTTTAGGATCTATGAAGATTTTATTAGTATCAACAAATTTTTATAAGTTGTGACAAGTTTTTTATGAGTCCTGCTAAGGTTTTTAAGATTTATGAAGATTTTATACGTTTTATCAAATTTTTATAATTTCTGTTAACTTTTTATAAGATTTAAACGCACACTTGTGAGTCCTGTTAAGGTTTTTAAGATCTATTAAGATTTTATTAGTGTCAACAAATTTTTATAATTTGTGACAAGTTTTTTATTAGTCCTGCTAAGGTTTTTAAGATTTATGAAGATTTTATAAGTTTTATCAAATTTTTATAATTGCTGTCATTTTTTTATAAGATTTAAACAAACATTTGTGAGTCCTGTTAAGGTTTTTAAGATCTATGAAGATTTTATTAGTGTCAACAAATTTTTATAATTTGTGACAAGTTTTTTATGAGTCCTGTTAAGGTTTTTAAGATTTATGAAGATTTTATAAGTTTTATCAAATTTTTATAATTGCTGTCAACTTTTTATAAGATTTAAACAAACATTTGTGAGTCCTGTTAAGGTTTTTAAGATCTATGAAGATTTTATTAGTGTCAACAAATTTTTATAAGTTGTGACAAGTTTTTTATGAGTCCTGCTAAGGTTTTTAAGATTTATGAAGATTTTATAAGGTTTATCAAATTTTTATAATTGCTGTCAACTTTTTATAAGATTTAAACAAACATTTGTGAGTCCTGTTAAGGTTTTTAAGATCAATGAAGATTTTATTAGTGTCAACAAATTTTTATAAGTTGTGACAAGTTTTTTATGAGTCCTGCTAAGGTTTTTAAGATTTATGAAGATTTTATAAGGTTTATCAAATTTTTATAATTGCTGTCAACTTTTTATAAGATTTAAACAAACATTTGTGAGTCCTGTTAAGGTTTTTAAGATCTATGAAGATTTTATTAGTGTCAACAAATTTTTATAAGTTGTGACAAGTTTTTTATGAGTCCTGCTAAGGTTAAGGTCTATGGAGATATGAGTTTTATCAAATTTTTATAATATTTATCAACTTTTTATAATATTTTTAAGACTCAAAATTTTGTACTCACTATCAACTTTTTATAAAATTTGAAGACTTTGTATAAGCTCTGTTAAATTTTTATAACTCTTGACTAAATTTTATAAGTCTTGGTTAAGGTTTTTAATATCTACGGCGTATTGGTTTTAACAACATTTTTTCTTCTTCAACAGGCAAACGCACCCGCCCCTACTCCCACCTCTACGAAGCCGTCACCCAATGGAAGCGATCCAAATTAACTGACAACACCAAAAAAATCCAAACCATCTTAGACATATGGCAAAGCGGCGGTGGCGTCATCTGCCTGCACGTCTTCCAAAACATCATCCCCGTCGAAGCGTACACCAGAGAGGCGGCCATGATCAGCGCCCTGAAGCTGGACAACGTTTCGAACATGAAGAACGGTGAATTTTACGGTGCGGCCGCCACCTGGGGCGGCAAACAAAAGAGGATGCTCGGCAGTTATCTGTTGCTGAAAGCGATGAGGATATTTTTGAACGAGGGCGAACGGCAGCTGTTTCCTGGAGATATCGATTGAGGGGTGGGATGGGAAAGGGATTGCTGAGTTGTTAGATTGCGATCGATTCGTTTGCGGTACAGTTTGTTTGGGTTTTTTGTCGTTTTGGATGCGAAACTATACTGGATAAACGTCGTTTATACTTTTTAATAAACAATTGATTTTTATAGGTAATGGTCGTCGTTTCTGATAATTGAGGTTATTTATCGGACGGCTTTTACAGTTTTTTGATTCATTGAGATTCTATAGACCACTTTTACGGTCGAAAACGTTTTAAAATAACGTTAAAACACAAAACTGATTAGTTTTAAATTTTTAACAGATGACAGTTGACAGCGAACAGTTGACTTTTGACAGATAACAGTTGGAATTTGACAGATAACAGTTGACGTAAATCTAAGTAAATTCAAAGCATCGGTAGAGCAAAACCTAAAAATCTAAAGCAATTGAAGATCAAAAACCATAAGAAATACAGATAAAAACAAAAAGGAAATGATGGTCCAAGAGCCAGACGCAAACCTTGCAGTTTTCTTATGAAGACATCCTAAAAAAACAAAACGAAACACTGGGTAGATAGTGCAAGCTAAGCCCATAAAGAAAGAAGAAGAAGAGACGTTTGACAGATTAATCTACAATTTCATTCATTTTTCATTTCTTAAGCATCACATGTACAAAGCGCGCTTTTCAAATAGTATTATAATCAAGTTGAAATTATACTTGACAGATAAAAAACGTCATTCGTCAATTGTCATTGCGTAATTTCGACGAATCGCTGCTGTTTTAAAGCTTAAACGTCACATACTTTGATTACCATACGGGACAAGAAAGAGGTCCGACACGCCCAACATAGGGCGCGGCCATTTTGAACCCTATGACACAGTTTATAGCTAAAGAATCAGATCGCTCACTCTGCGTCGGCACTTTTGATCTCAATGTTCCAGTTTATACACTGCGTAACTCAGATAATACAATATATGACAACCGCCTATAATAAAACAGCAGTCTTCTGCGTATCCTGAATTTGTATCCCTGGAGTGGATATTATTTTGGAACTTTCAACTGGTCCGAGTGAGCTAACTGATTCTTTAGCAATAAACTGTGACTCCAAAAATAATATTCACTGACAGCAGCAAGCAAAATATCAGGTGCGTTTTAATGATCCGCTTCTGCTTCCGGAATTGTCGGTTCAGTCGTTCTAACCTGTCAGATTAAAACAAAAAAACCGACAATTCCGAAGCAGAAGCGGATGATTAAAACGCACCTTTTAAAAATATTGCGCCAAGATGTAGGCAACACGTAATAAGGGTTTAAAATGGCGGAGTTTTCTATCTCCTTTCAAAAGGCACTCAGAAAGCTGCGCAGTGCGACCATTCTCCGTATATTAAAAGAAAATCAAAGTATGTGTTAAACGTACTTAATTGACAAATTACAGTTGTAATTTGAAGTATGACAGTTGTACTTTGACAGATAACGTTTGTTAATTAGCGAAGGGCTGTAATTCGTTCATTAAGATTTCACACACGGCTTTACTGTCGAAAACATTTTAAAACAACGGTGAACATAAAAAATTTTGTTCTAAACTTTTGACAGACGATAGTTGGGGTTTGACAGATAACAATTGACGTTTGACATATGAAATTGTAATTTCATTCATTTTTCGCTTCTTAAACGTCAGGTGTTAGATTTAATACATGACAGTTGTGTTGTGATAAAGCTTATTGACACATTACAGTTGTAATTTGAAGTATGGTAGTTGTAATTTGACAGATGGCGTTTTTTAATTAGCGAAAGGTTATAATCTGTTTATTAAGATTTCACAGAACAAAAAAATATGTTTGACTTTTGACAGACGATAGTTGGCGTTTGACAGATAATAATTGACGTTTAACATATAAAATTGTAATTTCATTCGTTTGTCGTTTCTTAAACGTTAGGTGTTAGATTTAACACATGACAGTTGACTTGTGATAAAGCGTGCCTTTCAAATAGTATTTTAATCTTGATAAAATTATAATTGACAGATAAAAATTGACATTAGACAATAATTGTCATTGCATAATTTTGGCGAATCGTTGTTATTTTTAAATTTAAACGCAGTTAATTGACAAACTACAGTTGTAATTTGAAGTATGCCAGTTGTACTTTTGACAGATGACGTTTGTTGATTAGCGAAGGGCTGTAATTCGTTCATTAAGATTTCACAGGCGACTTTACTGTCTAAAAACGGTGAACATAAAAAATTTTGTTTTTAGACTTGACAGACGATAGTTGGCGTTTGACAGATAACAATTCAATTTGACATATGAAATTGTAATTTCATTATTTGTCGTTTCTTAAACATTAGGTGTTAGATTTAACACATGACAGTAGTTGTGTTGTGATAAAACGCGCCTTTCAAATAGTATTTTAATCTAGATAAAAATATAATTTATAGTTAAAACTTGACATTCGACAATTGTCATTGCATAATTTTGGCGAATCGTTGCAATTTTAAAGTTTAAACGCGGTTTATTGACACATTACAGTTGTACTTTGAAGTATGATAGTTGTAATTTGAAAGATGTCGTTTGTTAATTAGCAAAAGGTTGTAAAATATTCATTACGATTTCACAGGCGTCTTATAATGTCAAAAACGTTTTAGAATAACGTTGAACATAAAAAAGTGTGTTTTAGATTTTTGACAGATGATAATAATAATAAATCTTTATTGGTCCTTTTTGATCACTATACGATGATGTAGGATGTCAAAATACATGTAGTGGACAAAACACAATTTAAAATCTACATTTAAATATACATATACACACATACATACACACATAGTTGACATTTTACAGATAACAGTTAACGTTTGACATATGAAATTGCAATTTCATTCATTTGTCGTTTCTTAAACGTCAGTTGTTAGATTTAACACATGACAGTTATGTTTTGACAAAAGCGCACCCTGTCAAATAGTATTTTAATTTTGATAAAATTATAATTGACAGGTAATAATTGACATTCGACAATTATCATTGCATAATTTTGGCGGATCGTTGCAATTTTAAAGTTTAAACGCAGTTTATTGACACATTACAGTTGTAATTTGAAGTATGGTAGTTGTAATTTGACAGATGCCGTTTGTTAATTAGCGAGAGGTTGTAATATGTTTCACAGATGCCTTACACTGTCAAAAACGTTTTAAAATAATGGTGAAGATAAAAAATTTCGTTTTAGACTTTTGACAGACGATAGTTGGGGTTTGACTGACAAGAATTGACGTTTGACATATGAAATGTAATTTCATTCATTTCTCGTTTCTTTAACGTCAGGCGTTAGGTTTACCACATGACAGTTGTGTTGTGATAAAGCGTGCCTTTCAAATAATATTTTAATCTTTATAAAATTATAATTGACAGACAAAAATCGTCATTCGATAATTGTCATTGTATAAATTTCGGCGGATCGCTGCTGTTTTAAAGTTTAAACGCAATTAATTGACAAATTGCAGTTGTAATTTGAAGTATGGCAGTTATACTTTGACAGATGACGTTTGTTGATTAGCGAAGGCCTGTAATTCGTTCATTAAGATTTCACAAACGTCTTATACTGTCAAAAACGTTTTAAAATAACGGTGAACGTAAAAAATTTCGTTTTAGACTTTTGACAGACGATAGTTGACGTTTGACAGATAACAATTCACGTTTGACATATAAAATTGTAATTTCATTCATTTGTCGCTTCTTAAACATCAGGTGTTGGATTTAACACATGACAGTTCTGTTGTGATAAAGCTTACAAATAGTATTTTAATCTTGATAAAATTATAATTTACAAATAAAAATTGACATTCGACAATTGTCATTGCATAATTTTTGGCGGATCGTTGCTACTTTAAAGTTTAAATGCAGTTTATTGACACTTTACAGTTGTAATTTGAAGTATAGTAGTTGTAATTTGACAGATGGCGTTTGTTAATTAGCGAAAAGTTGTAATATGTTCATTATTATTTCATAGATGTCTTTTACTGTCAAAAACGTTTTAAAATAACGGTGAACATAAACAAATGTGTTTTAGACTTTTGACAGATGATAGTTGGCGTTTGACAGATGATAGTTGGCGTTTGACAGATAATAGTTAACGTTTGACAGATAACAGTTAACGTTTGACATGTGAAATTGCAATTTCATTCATTTATCGTTTCTTAAACGTCATTTTTTAGATTTAACACATGACAGTTATGTTTTGACAAAGCGCGCCTTTCAAATAGTATTTTAACCTTGATAAAAATATAATTGGCATAAAGATTGCTGCAATTTTAAAGTTTAAACGCAGTTAATTGACAAATTACAGTCGTAGTTTGAAGTATGACCGTTGTTCTTTGACAGATGGCATTTGTTAATTAGTGAAAAGCTATTATTCGTTCATTATGATTTCACATATGTCATATTACTGTTAAAAACGTTTAAAAATAACGTTGAACCCTAGATAAGACGTTTTAGACTTTTGACAGTTGACGTTTGACATGAAATTAATTAATTTAAACAAATGATAGGTATATTTTGACAAATCGCGCTAATAAGATAATATTTTAGTCCTGACAAAATTTTAATTGACATTTGACAATTGTCACTGTTATTTGATTGCTGAATATCTAACGTGAAAGGTTGTTAATTGACAAATTAGTTCCAATTTGAGGTATGACGGTTGCTCTTTGACAGAGGACGTTTATTAATTAATCGAAAGTGTAGTTTCTGGATCGAAAATGGCGAAAAATCGGTACCTGCAGTATTTAATCTGATGTTTCGACCGATTTTTAAACGATTCTTTAATAATAAAATTAACTATTTAGCAGTATTAATCATTTAAAAAAAAAAAAATTTGACAGTAATATTCAACAATTCGATTTATTTTGACAAGTAACAATTGGCTTTTTGACAGCTGTTACTTGACAAATTACATTCGTACGTTTGATATTTGACAGATAGTTATAGTTTGGATGAAATTTCGTTCAAAATCGGTCAAAATGGCTGGCCACG